CCTCCTCCCCTTTTTTCCAAATAATGAAAAGCAGATGATAGTCTCTCTCTCTATCCTCTCATGGCAATAACACACACGGGTCATGCCCCGCGACAAAAGGGGTCCAATAGAGGGCCGATATAGCAGTAGTGGCGGCGCCCATCCGGAAGTTAAAGCAGGACCGGAAGCAGCAGAGCGCCGCAGGTGAGTGGCGGGCCGGCGGCTGTGGCGATTGTGGGACGAGTCGGCCATCCATCACAGCTTCACAAGAGTGAGAAAAGGCTGTGGTCGTGGTGTGCCACAGTCCAGTGCGCTGCCTGCTCCCCCTCGCCTCCCCTCCTCGGCCCTCTTCCCTGGTGCTGGACTTCTCTCTGCAGTACTCGGCTGCTGCTGCTGCTTTGTGCAGTATTTCTCATCCTTATCCCGCACGGCACCTCTCCTCCCCCCACTCTCTTCTCCTACGCCGGGTCGTGACAAGGGCACGGGCGTGCTCTCGTGCCACTCTCCCGTGACTAGATAGGCATGCGGCGTACATCTGGAGTACGGTGATGGCGTGTGGCGGGGCGGGGCGGGGCGGTACCGGGCGCGCCTCTCCGCACGGCGCGTGAGATCATACTCTAGACACTTCCCAGTGCTATTTGTGTGTATAACTCTCTCGCAGGTCTTTCACTAATAACACTACTTATGGTCAGTCCGACGTGTGACCTCATTGTGGCCATATGCTCCACCGTTTAAACGCCACCTTTTAACCCAAAATCCGCGTTTGCCTTCCCCCACGTACGTTCAACACGCGTATCGACCTCTCGCTCATGTCCCTCTCGTTGTCACACACACGTCACTTCTCGTCACACGGCACGTGTCCGTGTCACACTTGGAGTGACGTAACTTCGGGCGACCCCCGCGCCGCAAGGCTCGGCCGGGCGGCGCCGGGGCAGGTGTTTGTGACGGATGGTCCTTATTACCAGCACCCTCCCCCCCCCTCCCCTTTCCCGCCATTATTTAAAAGCAGTGCGGAGCGCCAAGTGCGCCGACTACTGTGTGGGCGATCCGCGCGCACACTAAACCCTTGTGCATTGTGTTGTTTATAGTACACACAATTTCACACAGCCACAGTCACGCACAAAATTTCTTTGCATAACTATGAAAAAATTTGTGCACGACTTAGCGGCCGATACACTAGAAAAGTAAGGTAGGACTCAGCACTCTGCAGGGGGAGTAAATGACTTTAGTGCCTTTACAGTTGCATTTAAAAATTAGCACCCATGGAAAGGCGCTAAAATGAGGCGCATGGTGCTTTATTCTAGGGCCTGCTTTGGAAACTTTTCTTTGACTTTCCAAAGGTACTAAAATGTGGTGCTATGTTTTTCTAGTGTAGTTGTGCAGTGTGCATATGGTTATGCATGACAAATTGTGCAGAACTTTTGCTGCCCAAAATTCTGCAATTTATAATCCTGGTGCACAACATAATGCAATAGAGTGAATAAGTGTGCGGCGACAGGTGGTATAATACTCTACGCACCCAGCGCAGGCGCAGAGGACGACAGGGCGCAACGCCCGGCTCTTAGCGTGACGCCCGTGTGTTGTGTCGGTGCCATTGTACGACCGTGTGTGTGTGTTTGTACGCGGGCGCTTCAATAGGGCATTACTGCGCGGGCCGAAATTATTTTGCATCCAATGCAAACAT